CCTGGAGCTGTCTTCGGATTGGCTCGTGGAGGATGTGGGGACGCTTGGGTCCGTCCCGGGGTCCGGCACCTTGTCCTCAGCTGCGCGTTCGTCGGCTGCCTTGTTGAAGCTGTTCACGCCGATTTTGCGGGATGCGGTTTCCCTGTTCTATGCTTCCCGTCTCGCGTGTCGGCAGGCGGTGCTGGGTTCCTCCATGGGATCTGCTTGGGCTCTGGCTCTTAGGCGTTCTTCACCTTTTTGTCCTCTCCTGTTTGGGGAGTCGGCCGTGGCGCAGTTTATTCAGGCTGCGTCGGCGGCTTGTCGTCCGATGTCGGACTTGTTGGTTTTCCGGGGGTCCCGGGGTGGGTCTTCCCGGAAAGGTCGTGCCAGGGCTCGGGGTTCCTCTCGTCGTGGTAGGCCTCTGGTGTCAGGTTTGGGGTTGGCTCCTCCTGCGGACCCTCCCTCGTCTGGTCGGCGCGGTGTTCGTGCTGTGCGGGGTTCTGGGTCTCGTAGGGGTCGCCGGCCCTTTCGCGGTTTGCCCCTTTGACGGGGCGATGGGGGGGCGGCTTGCGCTGTTCGCCCGCGCCTGGTCCCACGATTCGTGGGCCTTTCGGGTCGTGTCTCGCGGCCTGCGGTGGCGTTGGGTGGCCCCTCCCCTCTTTGGGGGGTCGGGGCTGGCAGGGCAGGCTTCTTCCCCTGCGCTCTGTCGAGTCGTCTTGGAGTGGGTACGCTTGGGCGTCGTCGAAACGACGTCGTCCCTCAGATGGGTTTCCCGTCTGTTTCTGGTTCCGAAACGGGACTGCGCGGACCTGCGGTTCATTCTGGACTTGTCCCGTCTGAACCCCTGGGTTCATTGCCCCTCCTTTCGGATGACTACGCTGTCTCAGGTTCGGCTCCTCTTGGAGCCGGGAGCTTGGATGGTGTCCCTGGACCTCCGGGACGCTTATTGGCATGTCCCGATTCATCCGCGGTTCAGGGACTGGCTCGGTTTTGTAGTGGGGCGTCTGAGTTACCGCTTTCGTTGTCTCCCGTTCGGGTTGAACCTGGCACCTCGCGTGTTCACACGCCTTACACGGGTTGTGGTGGCTCGTTTGCGTCTCCTAGGTGTTCGAGTGTTGGCCTACCTCGACGACTGGCTGGTTTGGGCTCCCAGCCAGTCAGCTTGCTTGCTAGCCAGGGATTTGGTTCTTTCCCAGCTCGCCGGGTTCGGGTTCTTGGTGAACTGGAGGAAGTCCCATCTGGTTCCCTCTCAGGTTCGGACATGGCTGGGTCTCGTGTGGGACTCTCGAACCGCCTCCTTGTCTCTCCCTCCGGAGTCTCTCCTGCGGCTGCAGTCCCGCCTTCGTCTGTTTCTGGAGGGCCCTCGGGTCACCCGGCGGTTGCTCGAGGGGCTGTGCGGGAGCCTGAACTTCGCGATGGTGGTCTACCCGCCGGGTCGGGTTTGGCTTCGACGGCTGTTCTGGTTCCTTCGGGGTTCCCCCTTCCGCCTCTCTCGCGATCGCAGAGTTCGACCCCCGGGGGACTTGCGTCGGTTGCTGCGTCACCGGTTTCCTCTTCGGGTTTTTCGGGGTTCAGTGCCTTGGCGCCTACCCGAGCCCTCGCTCGATGTGTACACGGATGCGTCGTCTCGGCTGGGGTTTTGTGACCAGTGCTCACCAGGCCGGCCAGGGGCGTTGGGATCCGTCCTTCCGTCGAGCTCACAGTACGGTGCGGGAGTTCACGGCAGTGTGGTTTGCTCTGGGGAGGATTCGGGTGGCCCGCGGATCGACGATTCGGCTCCATTCGGACTGCTCTCCGGTGGTTCATTGCCTGAACCGCGGGGGTTCGATGCGGTCCTTGTCTCTTTGGGGTTGGTCGCTTCGGGTGACTCGTCTGCTGAGTTCTCGGGGTTTGGCTCTCCTGGCGGTTCACGTACGGGGCGTGTCCAACGTCTTGGCCGACGCCCTGTCTCGCTTCGTTCCTCTCTCCACGGAGTGGACGGTCGACGACGAGTCCTTCCTTTGGCTTTGCCAGACGTTCGGGCGCCCCGAGGTGGACCTCTTCGCGTCGGCGTGGTCGCGGCGTCTTCCCGTTTATGCGGCTCCCTTCCCCGATTGCGAGGCCGTCGGGGTCGATGCCTTTCGGCTCGACTGGACGAGGTGGGGGTTCCTGTATCTCTTTCCCCCGGTTCAGCTGTTGCTCCAGGTCCTGACTCGCTTAGAGACTTACCGGGGGAGAGTTGTCCTTCTGGCCCCTTGGTGGCCGGCCCAGCCTTGGTTTCAGGCGCTGGTTGCTCGGTGTCCGAACCCGAGGGTTTTTCCCGCGGCTCCGCCTCTTTCAGCAGATCGGGCCGGTACGTCACGTAGCTGGTTCGATCTTCTCCTCGAGTCTTCGCGTATGGTTTTTTTTACTCGAGTCTATCATCATCTCTATGGTGATCAGGTGGCCTCCTTGTTGGTGTCCCACCTGAGGGCTTCTTCTCGGCGGCAGTATGCAGTTTTCCTGGCGGTCCTTCCGTTTCTTTTTGCGTCTTCGTCGTGTTAGCTCCTTGTCTGTTCGGGTGGTCTTGTCCTTCCTCTCGTGGTTGTTTCAGGACCGTCATCTTATGCCTAACACTGTTGCTTCGTATCGTGCGGCGCTGGCGGAGCCGCTTCAGCTTGCTTTCGGTATCGATGTTACGTCTGCGCCGTTTCGCAAGCTGTCTCGTGCATTGTTTCACCTCCGGCCTGCTCATGCGTCGCCTGAGCCGTCCTGGTCTTTGGACAGAGTGCTCGCTTTCCTTTCATCTCCTCGTTTCGTTGTGGCCCCTTCGGTCCAGGATTGTTTTTCCAAGGCACTTTTCTTGTTGGCTTTGGCCTCTGGGGGTCGGGTAGGGGAGCTTCATGCTCTCCTCCGGCGCAGGGGTTTCTGCTCTTTTGGTCGTGGTGATAGTTTTGTTCGTTTGCAGCCGTCTCCTTCTTTTCTGGCGAAGAATGAGACTGCTGCGTTCCGGAGGGGTCCATGGGTGGTTGATGCTTGGTTGGTCTGGCCGGGGGTGCATCATGTTTTGTGATCGGCGGTTGCAGCCAGTTGTCTCGGCTTCGAGTTGAGGGGTGAGCGACGACCGCCTCCCGGGTAAGTCCCTCTTTTTCTGTCTGTGGGTAGTTAGCTCCGGGGAGCCGACGGGGCTCCCCCCAGAAAACCAGCGTTGAATGTAATGAAACGCCATTTTCTGGGTGAGTCCCGGAGGCTCCCCGGCATCCCTCCCTCCCTCCGGTCGGCGGTTTTTCGCGTTTTTGACATCCAGCCTCAAGAACTGAGGTGTGGGTAGCCGGCGCGGGGGGTCTGGGGCTCCCCCTTCCCCCTCCCGGGGAGGGGGAGCTGCGCAGACAGCGGCGCGGCAGTGTGTGACGTCACACTAGTTTGCTTGTTTTCGGTTGGGGAGTTCTATCCACTAGTTCGGTTTTAGGTAGCAATTTTAACCAGAATAGGGGTTTGTTTTGGGGCGCTTACCTTTCTGGGTGCCTGTTCCGGTCGATGGCAGACATAGAATGCTTCCACTAACACGGGGGCTTCTATAGGCCATTGCTCCCCTTGCCTCTCTGAGGGGGCCCGGTTCTGGCCGTGGTCCCCGGTAGGCCTAAGAACTCCATACACATGACTGATGCCAAAGTCTGACATTAGCATATCAGCCTGGGATAACTCCGGGGAGCCTCCGGGACTCACCCAGAAAATGGCGTTTCATTACATTCAACGCTGGTTTTTTTTATATATTTAGAATGTGTCCCTGGAAATTCAGCTTGTGGTCAATGAGAATGCCAAGGAATTTGCCATCTAATTTGTTACAAATTTGGGTATTGTTTATTTTGAGATTTATTTGACTAGAGGATTTATTGCCAAACAGAATATAGAAAGTTTTGTCAATGTTAAGGGTGAGTTTGTTGGCAGTTAGCCAAAGTTGGACTTTATTTAGCTCAGTATTTACTGTGGCATTTAGAGCAAGAGGGTCAGGACTGGAGTAAATGAAGGTTGTGTCGTCAGCAAATAGAATTGGTTTGAGGTGTTGGGAGGCATTTGGAAGGTCATTAATGTAGATGAGAAAGAGGAGAGGGCCAAGTATGCTGCCCTGAGGAACACCAATGTTGATGGGTAGGGTGGGAGAAATTGTATTATTCACAGAAACATATTGGAGCCTGTCAGTAAGGTAGGACTCGAGGTATTGTAGGGAGTGTCCTCTGACTCCATAATGATGTAATTTAAGAAGGTTATGGTGGTTGACAGTATCAAAAGCTTTACGCAGGTCCACAAATAACCCAACAGGGAACTCATTTTTATCAAGAGCTGTATGAATCGAGTTAAGCATACTAATAAGTGCATCGTTAGTGCTTTTTTTGGGTCTGAAGCCATATTGGCAAGGGCTAAGTATATTGAGTTTGGCTAGATATGAGTAAAGCTGCTTATAGATTAGTTTTTCAAAAATTTTTGACAAGTTTGGCAGGATTGATATAGGTCTGTAGTTGTTAACATCTGTGGGATCACCACATTTGTGGACAGGCGTTACTCTCGCTTTTTTTAGAATATCTGGAAAGGTTTGGAGTTCAAGTGACTTGTTGAAGAGCAAAGCAATAGCAGGGGCTAAAGATCTGGAGGCTTTTTTGTAAATTAAAGTTGGTATCTCCTCAAGGGCTCCTTTAGTTTTGGTTTTACTTCTTATATAGACATTGACTTTGGATCTTTCTTTGTTTTGGGCAAGTTTTCTTTCTTAGTTTCTTTTGGCTGATCTGGTTTCCTTGGTGGCTGAATTTAATGCCTTTTTATATATCTTATGATTATGATATTTATCATGATAAATTATATGTAATTATATAGGTGATAATTGTGTCTTCCAGTGTAGCCAAAAGCAACTTGCATCCCTGTGAGGTATAATACTGTGGTTTACTCAGTATTATACCTCACATTTCAATACAAAGAATTCAACTTTGTATTACAGTAGTAGTGTTCTCTTATTACAATGCAAAGCCAATTTACCTAATAAGAACTGAAGCACATTACTTTTATTTCAGGCAAAATGGCAATGGTTTTATCTCAGGAGACATTTGACAGCGTTGTTATAGAGAATGTAACAGAGTTTGACATGTCTCTTGAAGATGCCATCAACGAAACTAAAAAAGAATTTGAAGCTCAGGTAAGATTATATTTTAGCAGTTAGCATTAAAAATTATGCAAATAGGACAACAGTACTAGTACTCTCAATGGAGAAACTTACTACAATGCTGTAGTGCTTGAATGAAGGCGAAGGAAATACCAAATATATATATTTAAATGTATTAAAACTGAATTTTTATATGTAACCTACATCCTTTCTCAATGTGCTGTATACAAGGTTCATGACATTGTACACAGTACCGTGAGAAAGTATGTAGGCTATGTCCAAAAATTTGGTGTTTAATATGTTTATACAGTACATACACAGTATTGGGTCTCTCCTTCACTTTCAGTATTCTAAATGTTACATGTTTTATGCTCTAGCTCTATATTTTCAGGACTAGATTTTATTCTTTTGTACAATGATTATCTGCTGTGAAGAACTGTATTTATGTTTGTTAAATTTGCTAAGTCCATGCAATGTCAGGGAAAGTGCCTTCATGTATGGTCTGGTGTTGGAACATTGTGGCGTTAGGCTTATCGAGGTGCCTCTAGGCCAACGATTTACCTTCCCGGGAATGCAACCCACATTAATTGTGTAACTTCAGGTACCTATTTACTGCTAGGTAAACAGAAGCATCAGGTGTAAGGAAACTTGCCAATGGTCTCCAACCTATGCAGGAATTATACCCGGGACCTTTCATTTTGGTTTTGTATCCTATTGCTGGCAGATTTTAGAATACAGTACTGTATTGTTAGCTAACATGATATATATCAGAGAGGAAATCTCGCCTCAGAGCCCCAGTGGATGATCTCATTAATTCATTAATATAATCAATTATATGTAATTTTAAATATCACAAAAATTAAGATATTATTTTTAATTTTGAAAAAATTATTTTTTTAGTATCATGCCCTCTAAGTGTGAACAATATTTTTCATTGTAACTCCAATTGCTGTAAAACAGTATCCTCATATTTCTGTATTCTGTAATTCCAGTGAAAAAAAATTGCAGTCAGCATCTTAAACATATATTGAATTCCACCATTGCCACCCACCACCTGTTCCACCCACCACCACCACCTGTTCCACCCACCACCACCATCTGTTCCACCCACCACCACCATCTGTTCCACACCACCACCACCACCACCTGTTCCACCACTGTCATCACCTGTTCCATCATCTCGTGTTCCTCCACCACCTGTTCCACCCCCCCACCTCTTGTTCCACTACCACCACCTGTTCCACCCCCACCTCTTGTTCCACTACCACCACCTGTGCTCACCTATCAAGGCTTAAAGAGAAAAATCAGTACTTAACTATCAGTAACTATAGCAAGAGTAGCTCTTTATAAGCCACGATTCATTTTGTCGGGGATATGCAGTCAGTGTGCATATACAGGAGTGAAAAATATTCTTCATCGTACCTCAAATTGCTTTAAAACTGTATCCGTATATTTCGTTATTCCGTGATTACAGTGAAAAAAATTGCAGTCAGCATCTTAAACATAACTTGAATTCCACCATCTTACATTCTTACAAGAATGTAAGAACTCTTGTATATATAAATACAATAAAATAAAAATAGAATAAGTTAGGCTCATATTGAGCCCCTGCCCCCAAAAGTCGAACTACTGACCCTCCCCCCCAACCACCACTTGAACATCTACCATCACCACCACTTGAACATCTACCATCGCCACCACTTGGTCATCTTCCACCACCACCACCACTTGGTCATCTTCCACCACCACCCCTTAGTCATCTTGTAACAGTTGTTGAGGTGACTTGAGTAGACTTGGGATTATACCTGACTTAAGAGACATTCACAGGGAGGTGAGATAAGGTCAAGCAAGCCTCACCTCCAGTAGTTTCTGGAGTTGGAAGGTAGTCCCTTGTTACCAGATTCAAATCCGTCCATTCAACGGAAAATTGGGGATAGACGAGTATAAAAGCTCGTTACGAGAGAGGGAGTGGTGAGTGTGTGCTGTGTCTCAGTCCAGACAAGAGTCTGGGGTGTTGTGTTGGGCGTCACAGGGGGAGGGAGACTGACGATCTGGTATCTGCAAGGAAACTTCTACACTGCTGTATCTTGAGTGAGTACTGGTCCCTTATGTTCCAATATCACAAGTGTCGATTATTATATGTGTTACGGCCCTATTGGGTCGCAACTGGGTTCTTTCTCTGATGTTATTAGAGTTAGGGTATCCGGCCCCAAGCTAGTAGTGACTTTCAAGGGGTGTGTTCCATAACGCAAGTAAATTAAAGGGGAAGGGATACAAATTCTCTAAATTAAATATATAATTACCATCACCAATAAATAAATATATAAATTATCACATGGGGGGTATAGACACTATAATGTACAATATGGTCTTCCTCTGAAGATGCGGAGTGTTCCACGGTGCTCAACGATGCTTAGCCCTTGGTCCTCTTCTTGTGGCCTCACGATGAATCCGTAGATTCTCTAGACGAGTCTACCCCGGCCACAGGTCAGCCAAATCACGGTCCCACTGGGTGCACCGTCGTGGAGGCCTTCAACCACAAATCCAGCCTGTAGCTGGCAGGTTCCAATCAGCTACGCTGCGTAGGCCACTCCACGACCGATACTAGGGTTGCGAGCCCTAGGCAGGAGCCTTGTGTGATTCCACAGATCACTCTCCTCACCACAACACCCCAGTGGCTAGTCTTCTCCGCCAGTCAGCCCCGGGTACGACAATCCCTGGTTCTGCCACCTCACAGGCAGGCTAACACAACAGTGTTCATCCGGGGGGTGACTCACAGCTTCTGCAGCAAATGCGTGAAGATACTACGGCTGCCTTGGGTAGATTGCCCATCATCCGATACAGCATTCCCAGGTCGACTCTGTAATCAGACACGTCATCAGTACTAGGGACACCCTAGGGCATCTCACTTACAGGCTTAGACACAAACGCCCACCTATCCACTCCATAGATGGCGTTGCTGTCTAAGCGTCACCTCACCAGAGGTCAGCAGCGGCTATGTCACGAGCTGATTAGGACGGGAAACCAGCCCCTGTGGCCGGTATATCTTGTCCTCACTAGATGGCGTCGTCCATTTGGAGGGGGTTTCGGGAGCTGACCCACAGATGGCGCGGTCGTCACTGCTCCGTGCTCGGACGCTGGGCTCGGGTCCGTAACAATATGCCTTCATAGGGAAGATAGAGTAGGACTTTTATATAGTGATCTTAAATTAAATAAATATATTACTAAATTGTCCATCTGGGTATCCATTCGTCCTGTGTATTCATTCATAGAGAGCAGCCAGAGAAAAGTGGAAACTGACCGTGTGCTCACAACCCCCCCCCTCCCCTTTTGTGGTGCCACCTTTAACCCTCCCGTGACCGGTACCTTTCGATGCCGGTCACTGTTAAATACTTATAATCATCAAAGTCGACTGTGGTGGCGGCAGCAACTATCTTCAAGTTAGTCATAATTGTCAACAACTTGCTTAGTGGCTGGTATCAGTGGTGATACGTTATAACTGCGTTATAATCTTTCACCACCACCACTTGCTCCTCTTCCCTCACCACTACCACTTGCTCCTCTTCCCTCACCACCACCACCACCACTTGCTCATCTTCCCTCACCACTACCACTTGCTCATCTTCCCTCACCACTACCACTTGCTCCTCTTCCCTCACCACCACCACTTGCTCCTCTTCCCTCACCACTACCACTTGCTCCTCTTCCCTCACCACTACCACTTGCTCCTCTTCCCTCACCACCACCACTTGCTCCTCTTCCCTCACCACCACCACTTGCTCCTCTTCCCTCACCACCACCACTTGCTCATCTTCCCTCACCACCACTACCACTTGCTCCTCTTCCCTCACCACCACTACCACTTGCTCATCTTCCCTCACCACCACTACCACTTGCTCCTCTTCCCTCACCACTACCACTTGCTCCTCTTCCCTCACCACTACCACTTGCTCCTCTTCCCTCACCACCACCACTTGCTCCTCTTCCCTCACCACCACCACTTGCTCCTCTTCCCTCACCACCACCACTTGCTCCTCTTCCCTCACCACCACCACTTGCTCATCTTCCCTCACCACCACTACCACTTGCTCCTCTTCCCTCACCACTACCACTTGCTCCTCTTCCCTCACCACCACCACTTGCTCCTCTTCCCTCACCACCACCACTTGCTCCTCTTCCCTCACCACCACCACTTGCTCCTCTTCCCTCACCACCACCACTTGCTCCTCTTCCCTCACCACCACCACTTGCTCATCTTCCCTCACCACCACCACTTGCTCATCTTCCCTCACCACCACCACTTGCTCCTCTTCCCTCACCACCACCACTTTCTCCTCTTCCCTCACCACTACCACTTGCTCCTCTTCCCTCACCACCACCACTTGCTCATCTTCCCTCACCACCACCACTTGCTCCTCTTCCCTCACCACCACCACTTGCTCCTCTTCCCTCACCACCACCACTTGCTCCTCTTCCCTCACCACCACCACTTGCTCCTCTTCCCTCACCACCACCACTTGCATCTCTTCAGTTTGTAGTTTCCTTCTTTGCCCACCTTTATTTCCCTGATTATCGGACATGTAGTGATTATATCCTCTCTGTTCATTTTCTCCTCTAGGGTTGTGTGCTAGAGTTCCCTTAAGCTGTCTTCATAGCTTGTCCCCTCTCACTTCTGGTATTAGCCCTGTCATCAATTTCTGTATTTGCTATGAAGTTTCATTGTGTGCTTCTCGAGTAGTGGATTCCATACCAATACTCCATAATGTAGTGATAGTTTCATTTTGGCTGTGTATATGGGGGTTGGAATCATCGTTGTTTATGATTTTTAAAAATGTCCTTAGGTTCGTTAGCTTTTAGTTTACTACTGGTGTTATCCTATTTTTGTGTGTGTGTCTGTGTTAGCGTTATAATTCTGTCCACTTCTAAGTGTCGTTCTCCTTTTAACTCCTGTAAGACATGCGCAGTTGACCTGCCTTAACCCATTACTGTACTCTCCTTAAACTCATTATCTTACCTTGTAATCATTGCACCCTGTTATGTGCTTATTCCATCATGCTGTGCTGATCCTGGAATACTTCTCTAGATATCCCTATTATTATTTTTAAGCTGCATCTCTTACCCAGGGATGGGTTCATCCCTGCCCCTTGTGTGGCAGTTCACAATAGAAAGTTGTATTTACATATTTGTACATTGAAACATTGATTGTAACCATGATATATATGTGCTTCAGTCTTCAGTTCAGACCTATTGTCTTGTGTATGACCCTCTGTCCTGTGTGAAAGTGAATACCAGCATTATCCTCACTCTAATAAGACTTAATTGAATTCCTCAGACTAGGCAAAATTGTAATTAATGTTTGTCAATAAAGATGAAAATAATAATGTAGATATCCCTCGGGCAGTTGAAACATAGGTCATCTGTATACAGTAATTCTAGTAGGGTTTGACTGCCAGATTTATGGTAATGCTTTCAATGATAAAGTGTGGGTTCCACCTTTAGCCTCTTAAACAAATGTAAGATATCAGTTCACTATTTTGATTGAAGTGTGTCTTTTTCTCTTGCTTTTATATGGCAGGGTGTGCAACTTGGGATCATTGTTAAGAACATGAGACTTAGCGAAGACAAGAGGAGTGTTGTGCATGACATACTCGTTGCGTTAGATAAACTTCGTAGTGCCGCTGATGGTTCTCCTGTGTTGGAGGACATACAAGAGCCACTTGCCTTGTTCTCTGCCCAGTGTAAACTGTCTGTGGCTCACCGTGTCTTGGCAAATAACCATGGTGGTTATGCAGTTCTCCTGAAGCTCTTAAAAAATGTCCAGGTAAGGCATTGTACTATTTTATATATATACAATATTTTCTAATACTGTATATATATTTGAATTATATGCTGTATTTGATATATTAACACTTTATTGTTCTGGCCTGTTGACGCAAACCTGACTGTAAATGTTCCTGGTATCTCTAAGGTAACCCTGGCCCCAATTCCAAAGCCCTCAGATACTTCAGAGTCAGAATCCAGGCAAACTATACCCACATAAAAAAGAAGTGGTGCAGACATAGTCCAGGTGGAGTTCAACAACAACTCCAAATCCAGGTTTCTACACACCACAGGGGGCCAACTCTGAGGTATCCAAACAAACACAATGCCACAAACCATAAATAAAGGAAAACTTTGCCTATAAAGTGGCACCTGCTTGATCAGCTTCCTGATGTAAAGCAGGCCGAGATAAAATGGAGCCTGCTTTGCTCCAATTTATATATGTCCACCATGCACATATGTTGCAGGATTTAGGTCAAAGGTCACTGATCCAACAGGCATCATGGCAGAGGCAGACACAATGACTGTCAGCCAACAGGAGGGCCAACGATCACCCTTCAGACTCGCACTCGGTGAGTGTGGACTCAGTGGGTCGATCCATAATGAGCCACACCATTGATCCACAGAGGAATTACCAGGGGTGTTTAGCTAATCAGAACACACAGGCATTAGAGACGCTACACAGAGAAATCACATTATCGTGATACTGTATATCAATGAACAAATCCACAGGAGCCGTGAGTAAGGTTTGAAGGTCTGTGAGGGGGAAGGGGGGGGCAGGTTCTGGCTCTGGTCTCTGGTAGGCCAAACAGGACTCGGCGAGATAACTTCGGAGAGCTACAAAGGTGGGGGGCTCCTAGAAAAGTGATATCTGGGAATTTCAAGAACATTTACTCATGAAGTACAGATGATGCATTTTAGTATCATTGAAATGTTAATTTTAAGAAGCACAATGCTTTAGTAATTATTTGCATGCATATTAGACAATCCCACCAAATCATCCCTTCATCCATTTGAGGCAATGTGTAGTTAATACTTGCCTGAAATAAATTGAATTTCATATAGACCCGTGTGAACTGAATAGTGAATATTCCTTGTCAAAAATTTGATATTTTATTTATTGTATTTTTATCTTAAACTAATTTTATTTAGTCTAATACCAACATTTCAGGGAGAGCCTGCTATGTTGGGGCCCACATTGAAAGCCATGGTTGCACTAACAGAATCCAATCCAGATATTTTGACCACTGAGGGAACCCAAGTTATGGTGCAGCTTATGGAAGAATGGAAATGTAGAGCTGACAATCTCACAATTCCTGAATATTTGGTACACTACAGCTATGTCCTTTTTCTCCATTTTTTCGTGCTGACACTTATGACTTAAAAGCTCTGGATTATATTTGTTGCCTGTTGGCTGCTATATATGGTTGATAGAATTCTTGATATTGTAGAATAGCATAATAAAACGTGAATTTTTTTATATCAATCGTACGGTTGACATGATTCACTATTTTTCAGGCTCGTTGGTGCATCGAGTCCTGTGTAAAGCACGAACGTAACAGACAAACCCTTGTAGCTGCTGGAAGCCTTGGTGCCCTGGTGGCTTTACTACATGCTAACAAATCTAATTCCCGAGTGGTGAGGTCAACGTGTAAGGCTCTCAGAGCGCACACGCTAGATGATGATATTAGACAAGAATTTGGGAAGGCCCATGAACATGCAAGAATTTTGGTTGAGGAGCATGGTTTAATTGGAGTCTGTCTAGACATGATTAAGGGTAAGTTTTACTTTAGAAAGAAAATGTACACATTTTTCTGTGGGGAGCCCTGTTGTCTCCCTTAAGCTATCTGACCTGATATAGTGCTTTATTAGTTTGGGGTCATCAGTCACAGGAATTCTTTGCCTACTGGGAACCACGAGCCAGAATCTGGTCCCCTCAGAGAGGTGCAGGAAGCAATGGCCTATGAGCACTTTACATTTAAAGTACTGGATGTCATATTTTGCCATTGACCGGGAAAGGCACCCAGAAAGATAGGCGAAACAAAACAAGCGACAGTCTGGTGAAAATTGCTACCTACATCCAGAAAGAGAAACTTTCCCAGAAGAAAGCAAACCAGCAACCCTTCATGCAACTAGCACTCTCGCTCATTAGTGCTACCTGCCCCCTCAAGTAGTACCCCTTACTTGAGCAAGGAGAGCCAGCTCAAGTAAGCCGGCCTTTTGCTGTTCTGGCGATTGCTTGGTTCGACCCCTGGTGTCCCTGCACCAGTTGCTGAGTCGCCGGCATCATCTTCGGGTTTTTGGGGTTCAGTACCATGGCGCCTTCCTCTTCTCTCACTCGATGTTTTCACGGATGCCTCGTCTCTCGGTTGGGACTTTGAGACTGGTGCTCATCAGTCCAGCCAGGGATGTTGAGGGCTGTCCTTGCATCGGGTTCACAGCACAGTGCGGGAGTTTGCAGCGGTGTGGCAGGCACTGCGTCGGATTCAGTTTCTTCAGAGCTTGGTGCTCAGGCTCCATTCGGACTGCTACCCCGTGGTTTATTGTTACAACCAGGGGTGGCTCTTTGGGGCTGATCACTTTGGGTAGCCCTTCTGCTGCATTCATGGGGTTTAGCTCTGCACCATTCACTTTCAGGGAGTGTCCAATGTCCTGGCTGATGGCCTGTCACGCTTCATTTCACGGAGTGGACGGTCAATGACGCCGCCTCCCTTGGCTTGTCAGACGTACAGGTGTTTGGAGGTGGACCTCTTTGCATCGGCATGGTCTCTGTGTCTCCCACTGTATGTGGTGTTGTTCCCCGACTGTGAGGCCTTTGCAGTGGATGCTTTTCGGCAGGACTGGTGTGGCGGGCGTTCTTGTACCTCTTTTCCCCAGTCCGGCAATTGCTCCGGGTTCTGGCTCCATTCAGCAAGCTCTCTTGTGTGTTTTTCACCTTCAGCATGCTCATTCGCCACCTGAGCCACTTAGGTCTTTGGACCGGGTTCTTACCTTTCTTTCTTCTCCTCAGTTTGTCGTGACTTCTTTGGTTTGGGATTGCTTTTGGAATGCCTTGTTTTGTTGTCTTTGGCCTCTGGGGGTTGGGTTAGGGAGCTTCATGCTCATCTCCTGCACTGGGGGTTTCTGTTTGTTTGATTCTGATGGTAGTTTTGTTTATTTGCAGCCTTCTTTTATGGTGAAGTATATGACGGTTGGCTTCCGGAGGGGGTCCATTGGTTGTGGAGGATGGTTGGTTGAAATGCCATTTTCTGGGTGAGAATCGAAGGTTCCCCGGCATCCCTCTCTCCCTCCTGTCGGAAGTATTTTCGCATATTTTGACATCTAGCTTAAGAACTGTGGGTTGGGTTGCTGACGCAAGGGTCTGCTGCTTCCCTTTCCCCTTCCCGGGGGGAGGGTTGCGCAGATGGGGGCGCGATGACATGATGACATCATGGTAGTTACTAGTTTTCGTTTGGGGAGTTCTGTCCACTCGTTCGGCTTTCGGTAGCAATTTTCACCAGTATAGGGGTTTGTTTTGGAATGCCTACCTTTCTGGATGACATACCCGGTTGATGGCAGACATAGAATGCTTCCAACCACACGGGGGTTTCTATAGGCCACTGCTCCTCGTGCCTCTCTGAGGGGGGCCTCCCCAGCTCGTGGTTCCCCGGAGGCCAATAAGGACTCCATGATTGATGGCACCTAGTAGTATGGCCCATGAGTGATGACACCTAGTAGTATGGCCCACGACTGATGGCACTTAGTAATATGGCGTGTAATCAGTGTAATAGCTTCAGGAAACCTCTGGGGTTCACCCAGAAATTGGTGTTTCATTACATTGATCACTGGTCATTTTCTTAAGTGTTGTTGAATGGATATTACTGGTTATTTCTGGGCTACTTTCACTCTTTCATCAGTGTTGGATGAGATTCTGAGTCTGTTCGCCATTTATCTGTGCTTTTATCTGTGCTTCCATCTGGTAGTTCCTTTTGGATTGTCTGGTGCAAAATTATCAGTTCCCAAGTGTCTGGAGTAGGTTTGTTTATTTCATTTTCCTCTGCTGGTGCATGGTGTATTCCCCAGCCAGCATCAAGCCTAACTCTGTTGCTTGCAGCTTTCTAGATTTTTTGTCTTTATATAAAAACCATTCAGCATCTGTTGTTTTTTTATTTTGGTTCTTGTAGTTGAGGCTTTGTTCAGTGTGGATTTTGTAGATTATTGTGCTTCTTGGTTATTGTGCTCTCGGTTTTCAGCCTGGATTCTCAGATTACTTGAGCGAATTCCTGGGTTCCTTATCGAATATCCTGGCTACCTAAATGAGTGCCTTATTTTCCTGGTGGGTGCCCTGCATCACCTCAGTTCACTGGGGTGGTGCCATAGCTTATTTGGAAGTTTTCCCTTTGTCTTCAGTGGACGCAACCTGAATAGCCTAGGAAGGGTCTCGGTATTCTGGGCTTGTGCTTCATATTGCCAGGCAAGTGTACTGGTTCTTTGAGGGTTTGGTCCTAGGTCTCCATGGTGGGGGCCCCCGAGTCCTTGAGGAAGCATCTGGGATACTCGAGTATGTGTCTCAGATACCCAGTTGCATGTGTCAGTTCCTCAAATGATTCATTCAGGTCTCTGAATGAGTACTCTGGTGCTTTGGGTGCATTACCTTGGAACTTAAGGGGGCCTTGAATAGCCATGTAGTACCCCAGTGTCTTGGTCACATGGCCCCCAGATCTCTGGGTTGTGCTACAAACCTTCAGGATGGGTCACTGGACCCCCATGCATGTGTTTGGGTTTCTTCAAGAATTTGTTCAACATTTCTGGGGGTCTTGTTCTGCCCTTCTCTACCTTACATCACCATCCAATGTGTGTTGGCCAGAGAGTCGGCATGGTTGGCTTCCTCACCTTCCTTGTTCGAGATTTGGGTTGCCATCTGTGTGCCTTTGTGAATGAAATATCTATATTTATCCTATCCAAGAGTCAAGAATATTTTATAGTAAGAAATTAGCATTAACAAGTTCTATTTCTTGTAGATATCGTCATGTGGTTTATATGTGAGAATTTGATTTTAACTGCAACTTGTTTTAGACAAATTGCGTAAAATTTCAGGCATATAAGCCTGACTTTCGGGCATACATTATTCATTTTCAGGCAGGTACAGTTTTCATTCATACTTTAATTTTAGTATCATATGTGCTAAAACATCAGGGTCTAAAGATTTGTTGAATGTGAATGATTTGTTGAATGTAACTTTTAAAATGGATAAAATAGCTCACTGCCTACTTGTTTTATGATGATAACTTTATTAAGAACTACCTATTACTTCTTCAGACTGGCACCATGAGAGTGAAACATCGAGCGAGTTGCTTTACGTAGTTGGCAAGCTGTGCGTGCGGGCCGAGTATTGCCAGCAGGCTGTTGATCACGGGGCATTGTGTGTAATAAATGATGTTCTCACTTCATTTCCTAATCATGCTGTAAGTTATGGTCTTTGTTTTACTCTTGATGTTTATTATAGTTTTATTGATAGTGTAGTGCTGCTGCTGTCATCACTAGGTATGTTATTTTCTAGTACTGTACACTGTTTCTTTATTAATGAAAATTATAATTTTATTATTACATGCTTTATTTATGAAAATATTGTTTACAAAACAAATTTTAAGAAACTTCTATTTATAAACATTTCTGGAGGAAGCCCCTATGGCTCCCCGGAGCTATCCATGGCTGATATGGATAACCTCTATTTTGCATCAGTCGATGTGGGTGGAGTTCTAGGCCTACTGGGAACCACAAGCCAGAACCTGGCCCCCTCACAGAGGCACGAGGAGCAATGGCCCATAGAATGCACATGTGATTTGGAGCATTCTATATCTGCCATCAACCGGGACAGGCACCCAGAAAGGTAAGCACCACAAAACAAACCCCTATTCTGATTAACAACGAAAATTGTCAAACGAGTGGACACAACTCCCCAAAAGAAAAATGAGCAAACAACCATGACATCACACGAGTTGCGCCACATGTCTGCACAGCTCCTCCCTCCCTGGGAGGGGGGAAGGGGAAGCCCCAGACCCTTGCGTCGACGATCCCCACCCCAGTTCCTCAGCTGATGGGATCGTGCATGGTCGTGTGGCTCCAGCTCCAGTCTTCTCTCTGCTGTTCATTGTTTTCAGTGCTGCTCTTACGGTGGTCGTGTGAGCTGGGAATATTATTCTCAGGTACTCGGGCTACATGTGCTTAGGGTTTCCTTCCCTGAGTGCCCTGTAAGTACCGCCCTTGGGGCTTGGGGTTTCTTTCCATAAGTCGCCTTGGGTCTACCTCTGTTGGCCTTTCGTTGCTTGGCGTTTGACCGCCCCGAGTGTTTGGGGGTTTTCCTCCCTTGTTTGCCTTGGGATAAGTGGTAGTTATTGCACTGGTGGGGCACGGGGTACTGCGTAGCTAGTTTTCACCTATAACAGCAGCCAGCTCTGTTCCTCTGGGTACGTTGTCCACTTTCGTGATTTTTCTTTTCGTTTTGCCTGGTGGGGGGGGGGGGGGTCTGCCTTGTGTTCTCACCCTCCTAATCTTAGGGTCGTTTTGTGTGGTGGCATCCCCTGCTTTGCCCTCGTGAGTGGACACGTCCCGTGGGTTCAGCTTTTAGCAGTTTACTTGGTAGTTTGAGGTACCGGTTAGCAGTGCCCTGCCTGGGATAACCCTTAACAGACCCAGTCTAGGGGCCCTGGAAAACCCCGCGGGGGCTTTCGGGTCCGATGGAGGAAACCTTGCGTCCTCTCTCGCTTTGTGTGAGTTTGAGGGTTGCTCTGTTCCCTTGTCTCAGGGTGACACTCATTGTTTTTGCCTCTGTCATGCTGCCTGTTTGGTCGGTGACACCTTTAACCCTGAGTCCTGCGAACTCTGTTACTTGTTTGTGACTCAATTCACCCAGACTGATGATGATTTTCTTCGGGTGCAGGCAGCGTGCTTGTTGCAGGGGTAAGTTTAGGATATTGCAACGCGCTCGGGTTGTCGCTTCCCCGGACGCCTCGCGGCTGCCCCGCTTTGCCTATAGGGACTTGGACTTGGGGGTGTTGGTCGCTTCGGCCTTGGTTCCATCTGCGCCCCCTTGTTCTTCCCTTTCTGTGGTTCATTCAGTTCCCACCTCCCCCCCTGCTTCCGGCCCCTAAGCGTCTGAGAGCTTCATGGTCGGGGCAGGGTAGAGGTTTCTAAGACTCGGGCAGTTTTGGGGGGTTGCCCCGCCCAGGGTGGCTGCAGAGGCATTCGAATCTGTTCCTCCTGCCGATGCTCCGGGGTCTGACCAGTGGACCCCTTCCCTTCCAGCTCTTTCGGCTGCCCCAGCTTTTTCTTGTGAGGCCGGGGCTTTGGAGGACGACTCGGCCCCCTGGGCCTGGAGTGGAGGTTCCCGGGGTTTGGGAGGAGCTGACTTGGGGGTTTTGGACTTCATTGGACCCCGCCTGGATTTTCCATCCTTCTGAGCGGGGCTTACTGTTGCAAGGAGTGAGGTTTTCTTTTTCCCCCCTCTGCGTATGATTTGGACTTGAGTTCTGCTCCTCCCCATGTTCGGTTCCATGTCTCTGTGGATTCTTTAGTTCCGTCCTTCCAGAGGTTTTCGGCTTCCTGCATCTCGCTGCCTGAGGTGCGCTCGTGCCATTGCGGCTTACCTTCTGCATGACCCAGAGTATACCTCCATAATGGATTCTTCTTCGTTCAGGTTTGGATCATCGTGTCCTGGGTGCGTTATGAGGTTTTCATTGGATGCTTGGGACTCGTTCTGTCGGACCCGCATGTTTGAGTGGCGCGAAGCGTTGACGGTGGTCTAGGTTTACCTGGGGGGCGATTTTGAGCATCTTAATGAGTGCCTTTTCGCTCCTGTTGGTACGGTTCAGCTTCATGTGCAGGTTCCTTCCCTGTCAGCTGCGCTTGTGGCTGAAGATGTCCGCGATCGTGGCTTTTTAGCTTCAGTCCTGCGTTCATTTCCCTCCTGGAGCTGTCTTTGGATTGGCTTGTGGAGGATGAGGTGCTTAGGGCCATTCCTGGGTCTGATGCCTTAGTCTCGGCTGCTCGTGTGTCGTCTGCTCTTTTGAAGCTGTTTGCGCCGATCCTGCGAGAGGCGTTGCTACGGTTTTTCGCTGCGCGTTGTGTGTGTCAACAGGCGGTACTCGCTTCCTCCTTGGAATCTGCTTGTGCCCTGGCTCTTATATTGTCTTCTTTTTGTCCTCTGCTTTTTGAGGCCTCTGCAGTTGAGCGTTATATTCAGGCGGCTTCTTCCACTTGCTGACCTATGTCTGAATTGTTGGTGCTCCGGGGGAAACCGGGGTTGTGCCAGGGCTTGTGGTTCAGTTCGTCGGAGTAGGCCACAGGTGTCGGGTTCGGTGCCGGTGCCGCCTGCGGTCCCACCTGTGCCTGGTCGGCGCGCTGTTCGCTCTGCGCGCAGGTCGGGTTCTCGTAAGGGGCAGCGGCCCTTTTGCGGTTCGCCCCATTGACGGGGCGATGGGGGGAAGACTTTCTCGGTTCGCTCACGCCTGGTCTCACGATTTGCGGGTCTTTCGGGTTGAAGCGACAACATCTCTCAGGTGGGTTTATCACCTGTTCCCAGTTCCGAAACGGGACTGTGCGAAACTGCAGTTCATTCTGAACTTGTCCCATCTGGACCCTTGGGTTTCTTGCCCCTCGTTTCGGATGACCACTCTCTCAGGTCCTGCTTGAGCCGGGCGCTTGGATGGTGTCCCTGGACCACAAGGACGCGTATTGGTACATCCCTATTCAGAGACTGGCTCGGTTTTGTTGTGGGGCATCAGAGTTGCCGCTTTTGTTGTCTCTCTTTCGGGTTGAATCTGGCACCTCGTGTTCACACGCCTTACCCGGGTCATGGTGGCCCATCTGCATCTGTTAGGTGTTCGGGTATTGGCTTACCTCGAGGACTGGCTGGTTTGGGCTCCCAGTCGGTCCACATGTCTGCTTGCCAGGGATTTGGTGCTTTCCCAGCTCGCTGGGTTCAGGTTCCTGGTGAACTGGAGGAAGTCCTGTCTTGTTCCCTCCCAGGTTTGGTCCTGGCCGAGTCGTGTGTGGGACTCTCGGACTGCTTCCTTGTCTCTTCCTCCGGCGTCTCTCCTTCGGCTGCCGTCTCGTCTGTGCTTGTTTCTGGGGGGCTCCCGGGTCACCCAGCGGTTGCTCGAGGGTCTGTGCGGGAGCCTGAACTTTGCGATGTCGGTCTATCGGCCGGGTCGGGTTTGGCTTCGTCGGCTGTTCTGGTTCCTTCGGGGACATCCCTTCCGCCTCTCTCACGATCGCTGGGCAACCTGTCCTCTTAACCCTCAAACCGCTAGGGGGCCCAAATGGATTCAACACCCACAGGCGTAACAAAAAAAAAATAAAAAAAATTCTTTCGTCTTATACAAGTGTTCATTTTTGTTCCCTGATCACGGAAAAAAAAAAAAAAATCGTAGGTGGCATATTTTAGCCGCAATAGGGTAGGGAAGTCTGGCAAAAAAGGGGCGTTGACAGAGCCCTCGCCAGACGAGGTCTACTCCGCCTGAGCTGTCAGACGGCAGTTGCCACAAATATATTATTACCTAATTATTTCAATGTCTCTGATTGATTTTTGCTTATTTTTTTTTTTTTTGCAGTTTTATTATTTAATAGAGTGAATTGTGATATATTTATATAATAAAATGTGTGAACCATCGCTGTACTCAAAATTATGGTGTGCATATTAGTGATTCAATTATTATGTTTATAAAACAATAAACAAATAGTTTTGCTGTTGTTACACTATATACACAGGTTATATATAAGTATTTGCATGTTTTGTTCACCATAACGAACCACTAAGTTGGTCTTGTGAGTCAAAAAGCAACGAGGAGTGACCGCCACACACCAGCCAGCCACTCGTTGCCACTCCCTCCCTCAACAACACCTCACTCACCCTCATTTTCCTCCCACAATACTATTTTTGCATTTATTCACTATACACAGACATTATATATAAGTATTTATATGTTTTGTTCACCATAACTGTACATCTAAGCTTGTATGGTGAGTAAAAACACGAAGACGTAGCTACTCACACAGTCAGCTGGTGGCAGCCGCCCTCAAGGCCAGACGCACTAATATTTCTCCTCCAACAATATTGTTTGTGGTGTTATTACGCTATATACACACATTATATATAAGTATCTACCTGTTTTATTCACCATACCTGTACAAATAAGCTGGTATGGTGCCCAAAGACCATAGTGGCCACCAGTAAACAACATGACGCATCCAATCATTACAGTATTGAAGTAAGATTCTCAATAAAAATTTGTACCCCATTATTTATTTTATTTAAGTTTTACAAAAAATGTATTTGTTTTCAGATTTTAAACAAGCAAGCAATTTCACTGTTGAAGGCAATGGTTGGTAATGACGAAGTGAAGAGAGAAGCAATGAAGTCTGGTGTCGGCCAGCTGGTAATTATGTCGATGACTAACCATATGGTATGTTGCCTCTAACCATGGCTCACCCAACTCAAACTCTTTTTGGAATTTTTACAACATAACTTTACCTGATGAATATTTTACATTTTACTTAATAGGGATTAAGGGATAATAGGGATCTTCTTGCACAGGCAAGAAGAAAATATTGCAATCGCTATCACTGTGTGTGTGGAGGTGTAGATAGGTGGAAGAGGAAGTGGCAGTCAGGTCCCTGTAGGTGTGAGAGAGACAAATGCTAAAATTATTCGGTTCAATTTTTACCATTAAGGGGTCAAATTAGTGCACTAAGGAGTAGTGCACTAAATTGTGCACTTTTACCACTAAGAGGTAAAATTCAAATATACTAAGGAGTATATCTGAACAGTGAGGGTATGTAGTGTTGTCTTTTCTGCCTCTCTGTCCATATGATACATATCTTTGTGCCTCCTGTACTATTAGCAGTGAAGTTCATGCTATATATACTTATTATTACCCAATCTTTATGTATACTAACACAAAGTTTTGGTTGATCACATTTGGTTGATCCCAAAAGAAAGATCCTGGCATGTCGTGACCAGAATCATACTCAGTCAGGTAAGATGGAACTGGCACTAGAACCACAGGGAACTTTTCAGATGGTCTTTACTGGGTCATCAAAGGTGCTAGGGCATTCATTGGAGTAAAATTACATGTAGCCTCTTAAGTAATGTAGATGACCTCTTAAGTAATGGATCTCATCATCTGTGGAGTTCAGTTCAGCCTACCGGGGACCAGAGCCAGAACCTGGCCCTCTCACAGGCACAGGAAGCAAGGGCATTAAGTAAGGCAAGAGAGAGGTGAGGAGATGGAAATCTTAGAGGCAGATAAAAGCAAGGCAAAAGGTACGGAGAGTAAGATGTAATATAGGGTGCAATAATAGGAGTAAAAATGGGAATGTAAGAGAAACAAAAGTAAGAAAACAGTAAGTGAAAAATGAAGGGTAGGCTTATACTTACTTAGTTGTACTTACCTAGTTGTGTTTGCGAGGGTTGAGCTCTGGCTCTTTGGTCCCGCCTCTCAACTGTCAGTCAACTGTGTTAAATCATGTTTGTTTTTACAAATTTAGAACATTTGAGTATTTACTGTGAAAGGGACGAGTCAACAGCAACAAAGCCAGGACTAAGGTTCATGTTGGGTGGGTTGTGTATCAGAACCGATTCCACAAGACGGCGTCTGTGTAGAGTAGAGGCAGGAAAGATTATTTTAGAGGAAGACCAATCAGTGGTCAACAAATGTGACCTAACATAAGCCTACCCTTCCTTTTTCTCTTTCTTTTTTCATTCTCTTGTTTCTCTTCATTCCCATTCTTACTCCTATTATTACACCCTATATTACACCTTACCTTCCATACCTTTTACCTTGCTCTTATCTGCCTCTAAGATTTCCATCTCCTCACCTCTCTCTCTCTTACCTTAATGCCCTTGCCTTCCTCGTCTCATCACAATAGACTTGATAATGGTCCAGGACGGCCCGAAACGTCGTTGTCTCTTCAATTACTAGTGTGTGATTTGGTCAACATGATGGGTAGCACTGGCACACCCTCTGTAATTGTATAATTTTCCAAAAGATAACACTGATCTTTCACAACAAAACAGGGAATAGATAAAGAAGTTCTGGCACTGTTGTACACTGCCAGATTATTAGAGTAGACTTCTGATAGCACATTCACAACTGAAACTGGTGAATTATAAGGGGTTTGTCTGTATATGCAGTTCACCCTAGGTTACTCAACTTAATTAAGCATTCTCTCTCTCTCTCTTTATTCTTTTACAATACTTATTTACTTTAAATTGATTAATACAAGTTAAATGTGTTTGAACGTGTCACCAGGCCATACCAAGTGTGTGTGAAGAAGGCTGCGGTGCTCTCTCCATGATGTCATTAAGGGTCCCTGATTACTCAAAGCAGCTTGTGCAGGCAGGGGCTGGACAAGCTGTAGTGCAAGCCATGAAAACTCACCCAAAGAATAAGCAGCTGCAGGTCAGTTGAATAGCAGTAAGAAAGTTTTTTGTTTCTAATGATTGTTTTACATTTTTTTAAGAAATTAGAATAATAAAGTAAAACGGTAGTGTTCAATGATATTATTTGTCCAAAATAGTGAGTTTGAATTATGTTCATGTTAAGTTGTAGTTGCTGGTGTATAAATAAACTGAGTAAATGCATTGTATTGAATTTACTCACTTATTTGTGCTTGCGGGGGTTGAGCTTTGGCTCTTTGGTCCCGCCTCTCAACAGATCAATCAACTGGTGTACAGGTTCCTGAGCCTAATGGGCTCTTATCATATCTACACTTGAAACTGTGTATGGAGTCAGCTTCCACCACTTCACTGCCTAATGCATTCCATCCGTTAACTACTCTGACACTGAAAAAGTTCCTTCTTACGTCCCTGTGGCTCATGTGGGTACTCGGTTTCCACCTGTGTCCCCTTGTTCGCATCCCACCAGTGTTGAATAGTTTATCCTTGTTTACCCGGTCGATTCCCCTGAGGATTTTGTAGCTTGTGATCGTGTCCCCCCTTACTCTTCTGTCTTCCAGTGTCGTAAGGTGCATTTCCCGCGTGAATAAATGTGTGAATTTAGAGATGGTAAATTACAAGAACATTATAGTATGTGGATGCTTCTGTTGCATAAATTATCTGTGCTAGATGTTTATTCATTGCCATTAGTAAGTTTCTCACTTTTGTGAGTATTTTATCTATATATAGACAAAAGTACAATACAATGGGTAGTTATACATTGGATAACACAACCCATTGGAGAAAAAGGATGGGAACAATAGTGGAAATAGGTTAAAAATATTCAAACTAGGCCATTTCTGAGCCAGTAATTTTGGAGGCACTCTCCAAGTCTATATGATCCCAACCTGTCCTCTTACAAAGAATATCTCGTTTTGATCTTATGCGTTACACAAGGCCAAAAACCAGTCGGTACCTGTCACTTCAATAGTGCCACTTGAGCTGACAATTTCACTTTCTACCTGACATTCACCCATTGCTTGCCTAGGCTCTGTAGTTGCCAATCAAGTAAATTTTTCTGATTGATTTTATCCCAGTGTATGTTATCTCAGGTTTTATCCCAGTGTGTTTTATCTCGAGTTTTATCCCAGTGTGTGTTATCTCGGGTTTTATCCCAGTGTGTGTTATCTCGGGTTTTATCCCAGTGTGTGTTATCTCGAGTTTTATCCCAGTGTGTGTTATCTCGGGTTTTATCCCAGTGTGTGTTATCTCGGTGCCGAGGGATTCCACGCTTGGGGTTGCTTAATGTTTAAAACTGATGTGACTGATCTTTGTAAAGCTATCACAGTGAAATAGCTTCAGGAAGCCATACTAAAAAGCTGTTTCATTACATTCAATGTTGATTTTATATTTTTTTGGCCAGGGCTACTACAGCCAATCCTTGATCCTTGTTTTATGGAGTTTGGTTAGCATATTCAAAGTTTCTCTCTCTTGCTGCTGGGTTCTTGTTTTGAGACTTAACCTGGGGTTAAACAGATGAGGAATTGTTTCCCTACTGTTATTTGTCTGTCCATCATTCACATAGAGCCCATGAGAAAGTGCTTAAACATTTCACCCTTCTGGGTAAGGTGAGATGTTTGGACCGATTTACTGACACCTGATGCTTACCTGGATCTTACCTGGAAAGGCTCTCAGGAGCTCTTCTACTCAACGAGCTTGGCCTGAGGCCAGGCCAAGCTCCCCCTTAAGCTATCTCGACTTGTGATAAATTGGTCCAACAGGCTGTTGCCTGCAGCTGCCCATAGGCCCACATATCCACTACAGCCCAGTTGGTCCGGTACTTCTTGAAAGAACTTATCTAATCGGTTCTTGGCATTCACCTTAGTTCCGGCAATATTTCTAATGCTTGCTGGGAGAGTATTGAACTGCTGTGGCCCTCTGATGTTCAGTGCTCTCTGATTGTGCCTATGGCGCATTTATTCCTCACTGGTTCTATTCTACATTTCCTTCCATATCTTTTTCTCCAGTATGTTGTTATTCTATTGTGCAAATTTTGGACTTTGCCTTCCAGTATCTTCATGTACATATTATTTGATAACTCTCTCATCTCCTTTCCAGAGAATACACCTTGAGAGCTTTAGGATGGCCCCATTAGTTTAGGTGATTTATCGTGTCTATGTGTGTGCCATATATGTTCTCTATATTCCCTCTATTTTAAAAATGTCTCCTGTTCTGAAAGGGAAAACGAGTACCTAAGTAGCTGGAACTTACCACTGTTAAACATCATGTTATTTTCCATTGCCCAGTCAAAGACTTTATGAATATTGGCTTGTAATTTTTCAGTGTCTTCTACAGAGGAAATCTTCATGCTGAATTTTTGTATCAGCAAAGGATGACAAGAAGCTGTGACTAGTATTTTTGTCTATGTCTGAGATAAGAATGAGAAAGAGTGGTGGTGCAAAGACTGTGTTCTGGAGTACAGAGCTCTTCACTGCACCTGGACTTGATCTTATTTGATCAATGCCTCTATATACTTAGCAATAAGCGGACACCTGGGAGTTTAGTTGATTGTTGAGGGTCGCATCCTGGTGGATATGGTCAGTCATTGGTTAGAAACAGGCTTCATATGTCTAACAATGGGAACCAATGTACTGTGTGATACACTGGGGTGGAATGTGAGCTTTGCTCCTAATGGACCTGCTCTCCTTCCATTGACATTCTTCTTCTAGAGACACTCTTTTTCTGGAGGGAGCTCCCTTCAGCGGCTCCCCTTAAGCTATTTTGCTGAGATTACTACATACTAAAGGGTCACATCAGTCACAGAAGTTTAGTTTGGCCTTCCGGGGACCAGAGCCTGAACCTGGTCCCCCACAGAGGTGCAAAGAGCGGATGACAATCTGCCACTCCGCCAGAAGCAGCCTCCAGAAAGTCAGCGAGGCTGTACAGAAAACTGGAGGGTTCACAAAAAACAAAGTCTCGAAACTGCCAAACAACTCTGCAAATGATTCACACAAAACAAGGAATTCACTCAAACTAGCTCACAGCTTGTTAGTACAGTACCAATTTTTGCCACCAGGCAGCCCGGTCTCGGCTCCCAATTGTCTCACCACTTCATTTCTATTGCTGATGCTGTACCTACTGGTACAGCTTGGGCTCCTGTCTGTCAGATTGTGAGCAAGCCCCACTGCTTCATAGTAAGTGCCGGTTATCCTTCAACTCTGTTGTCGTGTAGGGGGGGGGAGCATTTACTTTATGCATTGTTCCATTCTTTTGTATAGGTTTCATGTTCTTATTTTGGCTCTGGCATGTTATGTGGGCTTGGCTCTTTTGGCATTTCAGGCTGCATATGCTCAGGGTTTTCTTCCCTATGTGTCCACTGATACCCCTTGCATAGTCAGAGATCCCTTCTCTGGCATGTTTGGGAATTTGCTCCTGAGTGGTCTGACCACTGGGGTGTGGAGTCTTTTTTTTTTGGGGGGGGGGGGCTGCTCAAGGATCTTTGATTTGGGCCCTTGGCTAGGGGAGTTCTTTGGTTGTGTTGGGGCACATTAGGGTTCATGTGCTTATTTACATGGCATGCCGTGATCACCATTTGTAGCCCAGTAATTTGGACTGTGATTGATGATAGTTCTTTCAGCAAGCAACCTTAGTGCCTCGGGTGTCTGCTTAGTTACCATCATTAAGGTCCTGTGAATCCCCTGCAGTATTCTGGTATGGTCTCTGTGGCTGAACCCTCTCTCGCTGAATGCAAGTTTCAGGTGTATTCATCATCTTTGCTTCAGGAGGATGATCATTCTTTCTGCAGTCGCCATGCTACACTTATGTCCCTGTGTCTTGTGAGATTTGCTCTCGTTGGGTCTCTGCTTTGACAGATTTTACATCCCAGTTGGAGGCATTTTGGGCAGCTGTCGCTTTGCAAGCTGAGTTGGTCCGCATTAGGCATTCGCTACATATTGATCAGCTGAATGTCAGGCGTTAGACCACATAATGTTTAGGGACTCTGAATTGGAGGTTTTGGAGACCTCCACCTGGATTAAGTTGACACCTCCGTTTCTTTTTCCTGTGTGTGTGGTTTGCACTGCTTCTGGTATCCTCCCCTCTTTCCTCTCTTGGTTCCAGCTCCAAAGTGTCTGAGGTTTTTGGAGCCAGGCCAGGGTTTAGATCAGCTGTCTCCGTCAGGTGGTCCCAATCCTGTCGACAGTGGATACATTTGAGCCTTCTGGTTTCACCAGGGTTTTCAGTGTGCTCGCTTTCACAATCGCTCTCTTGACCCGAGCCATATTGGAAGGATACCTTTCTGTCTCTGGTATTGGGTGAGGACTTTGGCTCTGCCCCAGAGCCTTTGTGCCAAGCATCTAGGATTGAGGGGGAACCTGAGGAGTGTCCCTGGGTGCCTTTCAGCCCCTCGTGGTTTTTGGTTCCTTTCACAGAGGGTACACTGTTGCAGAGGGGATAACTTTTCGTATTCCCCATCTGTGTACGAGTTGAATTGCTTGGCTGCTCTTCACCCCCAATGTTCGGTTCAGAGTAAGGTGACTCAGATTTGTCCTTCATCAGGAGGTTTTTGTTTTCCTGCACTTTGCCTTCTGTGATCTGCACAGATTTGCTTCCATGCCTCCTTAGTGATTTGTGCCTAGTGCCTCTTTCCATGATTTGCTTAGTGATTCAATTATTATGTTCATAAAACAATAAACAAATAGTTTTGCTGTTATTACACTATATACACATGTTATATATACATATCTGCCTGTTTTGTTCACCATAACGAACCACTAAGTTGGTATTGTGAGTCAAAAAGCAACGAAGAGTGGCCTTCACTCACCAGCCAGCCAGCCACTCGCCATTTTCTTCACTCACCTCCTCACTCGCCAACATACATACTTTTTTGAACAAAAAAAGAAAAATGAGGTAGATTGCTTACAAGTATTCTCAGGTACACTGTAAGTAATAATTTGCATTTTGAGACACAGGCAAAGCCAGGGGTACAATGGAGTAAGGGAGTATGGCGAGGCTAGGCAATCTAGATAATAAATGAAATCAAAGAAAAAAAGTTGAATAATAAACATAGGCAAATTTAAGCTTATGATTATTAACTATAAATAGTTTAGCTATGATCCTATAATTAATAAGAACTAAAGAAATATTAATGCACTCAATTAATTAAGTCCAATAAATGACTAATAAAAATTAAATTAAAATTTAATTTAAAAAGTGTAACAAAGAGACTTAGGATACCTAGCCTGCACTAGGTGACAAGGGAGTTAATTATGTTGACTCATTGAGAGTGATAATAAGGTGAGACAAACCACGTTGGGAGAGGAAAGTGTTGAGGTTATCCTCATTAGCAATTGTAAACATTTTACCTGCTGAAGTCTTTCTCACTTTAATCATGCCATCTCTATTGAAGCACTGATGAATCGCATCTGGGTTTTGATAACGGATTTGACGCAGGCGGTGGAGGAGTTGCTGTCTTTTTCTAGTCAAGCACTCGTCGTTCCCTGTCTTTGGGATGCAGCTGTCCGGACAAGATGTGATTTCATGGACTGGGAAGCCAGCTTGAGGCAAATTTTCCACTGGTTTTGTCCTGATGGATTCTTTTTGCCTACTCTGTAGGCAGCAATAATGTCTGTTTTACTTAGAGTGACACGCAATTCGTTTTTTATGAGAGCCTGAACTATTTCATTACACTTTTCACCTTCACTTTCCACAGGAATATCTTGGGACGACACAACAACAGAGTCAAGCAGCTTTTTGCTGGTCTTGTTCATCCGGGGAGATGGAATGATGGGCGGATAATGTACTGTACTGATACATTCAGTCATTTTGTTGAGAGCTTCCTCTTGGTTGTTTATGGCTTCATCAGTTTTTAGACGTATGTTTTCCTCACGGAGATCATTCAAGTCATGCTGGAGTTGATCTTGGCTAGCCTTAAAGTTTCTAATATCCTCACGGAGGAGGGTTATTTGTTGTTGTTGTTGATGGAGGTTCGCGCGGTTCGTTCTGCTTGTCTGCTAGCCAGGAAGCTGGTTCTTTTCCAATTGCCAGGTTCAGGTTTCTGGTAAACTGATGGAAGTCACTGTTGGTTCAGTCCCAGGTTCAGGCATGGCTGGGGCTCATGTGGATTTCTCGGACTGTGTGTGTCTCCCTCCTGCAGCTCTGCTCCAATTGCAGTCCCGCCTTCAGCTGTTTTTGAAGAGGATGCAGGTCACTTGGCAGTTGCTTGAGCAGCTGTGCAGTAGCGTGAACTTTGCTCTGGTGGTTTATCCACTGGGCAGGGTTTGGCTTCGGAGACTGTTCTGGTATCTTTGGGGCAGCCTCTTTTGCTGCTCTCGTGATCGCTGGGTTTGAACCCCAGTGTCCTTGTGTCAGTTGCTGTGTCACAGGCTTTCTCTTTAGGTTTTTTGGGTTCGGTGCCGTGGTGTCTTCCTTTTCCCTCATTTGATGTGTTCACGGATGCTTTGTCCGGGGCTCAGTGATCAGGCTTCATTCGGACTGCTGCCCTGTGGTTCATTGTCTCAAACGCAGGGGATCTCTTCCGTCCGTGGCTGCTTGGGGCTTGTCACTTCGGGTGGCTCTTCTGCCAAGTTCTCGGGGCTTAACTCTGTGCGTTCACATTCTGGGAGTGTTCAGTGTTCTGGTGGACAGTCTGTTGTGCAGCATTCCTCTTTCCATGGAGTGGATGTTTTCTCTCTTGGCATTTTCTGGATCGGCATCTGATGCCTAATACTGTCGCTTCCTAATACTTCAATACTTCCGCATGGTGCTGCTGGAGCCGCTCCATCTTGGGTTCGGGGTGGATGTTGCTTCTGCTCTGTTCCGCAAGCTTTTTCGTGCATTTTTTCACCTCTGGCCTGCTCATGTGTCGCCTGAGCCTTCTTGGTCTTTAGACCGTGTTCTTTCTTTTCTTTCTTCTCCTCGCTTTGTTGTGGCAAGTCACTGGTTCTGTAATGGTGGATGCTCTTTGGATGGATCCGGTTTCCCTGGTTCCCTGTTCCAGGAGCTCGTGTGTCTCAGGGTGTCTTTCCTCGTGTGTCTCAGGTTGTCTGCAGTGTCAAGTCCAGCCAGCCTGCGGTCTACCCTCGTGCCCATGATGGAAGTATGCTGCTCTCACCGCAGATTTTGGCAACATGTCTTGGGTAGACATTCGGGCACGGGGGTTTTGGAGATCTAACAGGGTTCTGGCCGCCAGGTATCTAGTGAACGTTTCAGTTCCTTCCTGGCCATGTGTGGCTTTGGGGGGTGCCTAAATAGTGGTCATTTGTCTCTTCCTCGTCTTGAGACCTGCTGTGCTGCTGCTTCCCGGGTATATCTTGAGATGATTTCGGGGCTTTAGTGTCCCCGCGGCCCGGTCCTTGACCAGGCCTCCACCCCCAGGAAGCAGCCCATGACAGCTGACTAACACCCAGGTACCTATTTTACTGCTAGGTAACAGGGGCATAGGGTGAAAGAAACTCTGCCCATTGTTTCTCGCCGGCGCCTGGGATCGAACCCAGGATCACAGGATCACAAGTCCCGCGTGCTGTCTGCTCGGCCGACCGGCTCCCTGGAGCCGGTCGGCTCCAGGGAGTAAGGGTTACCAGGGCTCGGCTGGTAAGTCCCTCCTTTTACCTATCTTTCGGTAGTTAGCTGATGGGGCTTCCCACAGAAAACAAGCATTGATTGTAATGAAATGCCAATTTCTGGGTGAGCCCCGGTGTCTCCCTCCCACGCTCCCTCTGGTCGGTGGCCTTTCATTGTTCAAGAACTGGAGTGGTGGGCTGTCGGCTCCCCCCTCTCCTAGTGCTAGTTGCATAAAGGATTGCTTGTTTGCTTTCTTTCTAGGAGAGTTATTTTGATCTTTTAGCACCTCACTCAGTGTTTTCTGAAGGCCCACTGCCTGATCACAGTGGCTTGTTTTGCTCCTTGTTTGTCTTTGAGAGCACTTCACTTTTTACTTGGATGTAGTTTCACTTTTGAATTCTTGGGATTTGGTTCCTTAAAGTGGTCCATATTCAGGGAGTGTTAAATGTGCTCGGCAGATAATCTTTTCCATTTTTTATATAATTTTGATGGAATGGAAAAGGAAAAGGATCTCCTTTCTTTAGATGTGTGTCATCAGTCTGTTCCCTGGTGGATCTGTTCACCTCAATGTTGAACCATCAGCTTCCAGTGAACATAGCCCTTTTCCTAGACCACAAAGCCTTTGCATTAGATGCCTTTTGTTTGGATATAAATAGGGATAACTTCATATACCTGTTCCTGCTGATGTGAATAAAGCTTGCCATTTTGTTCAAACTGCATCAACATGTTGGCTTCCGAGTAACCAGTCCATCCCTGGTTCCCAACTTTGCTTTTTCTTTACCCTTTCTGGATCTTTACCCTACCCAGACAGAATATATGTGGCAGCATATATGTGAATGGTTCACCACTTTCTGCCTATGAACATGTCTGAAATGTTTAAACTGGCCCGACTGTCAATTTTATATTGGAGGTTAGTGACTCGGCTTCTCATGTCACCTTAGTGAGCCTCCTCCTATCACAAGTATGAGGTAGCCTGGGTATCTTTGCAACATTTTCTCAGTGCGATGCAGGTATTTTTCCTCTTGGTGGACTGCTTGATGATGTTCCTATTCAAAGTGTGTTGCCTTTTGTCCAAGATTATTGCTTTCTTTGGGTCAGCACTTTCTGAGCCTCTTCTTTGTTTTAGCTTGGATCTTTTCTTGCCTCCTTTTCTCAAGCTGTCTTGGTCCTTTTCCAGCTTTGTCCTGTACACTCTGATGTTCGATTCCCGCACGAGGCAGAAACAAATGGGCAAAGTTTCTTTCACCCTGAATGCCCCTGTTACCTAGCAGCAAATAGGTACCTGGGTGTTAGTCAGCTGTCACGGGCTGCTTCCTGGGGGTGGAGGCCTGGTCTAGGACCGGGCCGCGGGGACACTAAAAAGCCCCGAAATCATCTCAAGATAACCTCAAGATAACCTACACTTGCTGTATAAGCCGTACTAGTCTCTGGACGCCTATCCTTGGTTTTCTTTGTCTTAGTTTTAATCTCGCTATCATTCAATAGTGTAACTTTCAAAGGTGGCATTTCTTCTTGGTTTTGTGTCAGGTAACCACATTGGAGAGCTGCTCACTCAGCAAACATAAAATTAGCATTGTGTGTTGGTGAGTAATCAAAGAAAGTGGGTCAGTTATATAGCACAGAATGCAAAGTATCAAGGATACTGTACCAGGTATTTCATAATTTTGCTTGTGTTGAGCGATTTATTTGTGAGGGAACAGGGGAGGCCTATATCAATTGCCTGCAATCAGAAAATTAGTAGTATTTATATATTTCATACTTTATATTTCTTTCCATAAAGGATAAATTTTGGTTTACTGTCATTTTCTTTTCACAGAAATTGGGTTGCATGGCTATTCGAAACATGGCATCTCGCGTACAGGACAACCAACATCTCTTCGTTGAGTATGGGGTGGAAGAGGTTATACAGGCTGCCCTTCAAAATCATGGTGAAGCAGTGAAAGATGTGGCTAAGGCAGCTCTTAGGGATCTGGACCTTAAAGTAGATTTTGTGGAACAGTGGAGGGGCACTGGTCATGAAATCCACCGATAAAATAGTCACCAGTTCCGAATTCTCAGGAATCCCAGTGCGCAACTCCTGGCATGTGTTAAACCCATTCAGGTTTTGTAATGTCTTGTGCATTTATTTCTCAGATTTTCGCTATAGAATAACTAACTTTCATGTGATAGTAATTAGGTTACTGCAAGTTCACTGAAAATTTAGATTTAATGATCTTTATGAGCTTTAAATCTTATGATCTTTAACAAAAAATGCTAAAGCAATATGAGGTTTATTTGCTTATATAGTAGACTTTTGTTTATACATAATTATACTCGGTAAGGACTGAACCTATACATTGTAAACATTTTTAGATTATTTTTCAGTTTTTATATGATCTCCTTTCAAATATAGGCAAATTCATAGAAAGTTTGACTTTTTTTTTTCATTTTTAATTTAGCAGCATTCATACATAACCAATTAATACTGTTATTTACAAGTTTAGTAAAATAGGATATTCTTAACTTTTTTACTCAAGCTTTTGTAGTGCTCAAAATTTGCACACATGTGGCAGCTTGGTCCACTGGAATGTAACAGAAACTTAATAAATATAATACTGTATTGTATTATTATATCCTTTACCAGAAAGAGAAAATAAGATAAGGGGCAGCTTACAAATTTTTTTAAGTTAAAATACACAATGGGAAACCATGAAAACTATGTCTTTAGCTGAATTGCTAAAATTCAAATGTTATGTAAATTAAATTCAAATTACACAAATGTTACAAAATTTGTTGTTACGGTATCAACATCGTTGTTGGAGTGTGGAGTGGTGATTTTGGCGCCATCTATGGACCTGCACTCCAACTCCAAGGCATTAGGTGAGACGCAGACAACGCCATCTCTTGGTGGAGGTGTGGTATATGTGAAAGGTTCCTGTTTCATACCTCAGGAGATGAGGTCGATTATGATGACCTCTGGCGAGGAGTGTCACGTGCTTCTGTAATACCAGTAGTGGAAACTCCAGTGCTGTTCGAGGAAACTTCATGGTGTAGCAGCCTGGAAGAGCTGTATATGATCCTGGTAGATAACCCAGAAGAACCTGAAGATATCAGGGTAGTGAGCTTTCAGATGTAGACAGGAAGTTCTAGTTGATAACTTGTAGGGAGTTGGTAGAGTGTTTGGTTGTCATTAGAATGCAAGACACAGTGAAAGGCGAGTGATTGTTTACCATTTTAGTGCCAAGGAGTACTTATACTGAAGTATAGATTTACAGTTGTAGGCTGGATTACCTGCAGAAACATACATATGTGTTCTAGGACTGATAGGGGGATCGATTGATCATTGTTGTATATCAAGGAACATTTATACTAATATTTATGTTACTGCATTCATACGCTGGTTTTCCTTGCACATGTTTATAGATATATATATATACTCTTGCTGATAGTGCAACATTGTGTTATAAGACTTGACCTACTTGAGGAGGTTGGTAGTATTAGGTGGTGAATCAGGAGATAGGATACCACTTGAAAAGCAGATGATAGAGTTCTGATGGTGTTGGAGTGCAACCTGACTGAAATAGTATAGAGTGTATCTTCGGATTCATTATTATTATTATTATATGTGTGTATGTATTGTGTATGTGCTTTGTCCAGTAAATGTATTCAAATTTGCTGGTGTTTGCCCTTGTCCTAGTGAGGCTTTCCAGGAAGTAGGAAAGAAGGAGAGAGAGAGAACCAAGAACCACAGCTGTGGACAGGGTAGAATGGAATACTAATAAGTCAAAGGGGATTGAGGAGATCATATCACGTAAGGAGAGAGTGGGGAGTCACAGCGGATCGAGTGGGTGTGTGCATGTGACAGCGAGGCTAAGTATTGGAGCCGCATCCCCTAAACGTGTGACGTTGAGCCCCTCTCCAAGAGCCAGAAGCACCCAGGGTGATCTCCTGGTAAAGTATAAGCACTCTACCGAGTTTTGGGTTGGGTTGTCCATAAAGAAGGATCAACGACAACACCAACCCACAATAGTGAGAGTGACTAGTGATCCACACTCAGGCCTATTCTGACACTGCATAAGCAAAATACACCTAGTGGTTTGACCCCCTGTGCTTCTGCCATGTATGAAGATGTATATTTTGCTCCATTTAATGGGTCACATCAGTTCTGTTTGGCTTACCAGAGCCAGAACTTGGTATTACATTGGTGGTAGTAATTAAAAGCACATTAACAAAGGTTCACCCTTTTGACGCCGCTGTAGGGAGGAGTGGGGGGTGGAGGAGGGTTATGGTTTATTTTGCCAACTCCTGATCCCAAAATTCGCGAGTTTTTTGGGTCATCAGTCCCTCAACCCCGTCTCTTGGGGTCTGGGCATCTTGACCAGCTCTGCATTGGGTTATTGCGGGTTGGCTGGACTCAGGTTGGTGTCCCGGCTGTATCCAGGATTCATGGACTGGTTACGTTTGTGGGGTGTCTGGCTCACTGGTTCAAAGTTCTACATTTCGGCTTGAATCTGTGATTTTAACAGGTTGGCACCAGTCAGGATCGTCATGTTCTTTTTGTCTTGGTTGTTTCTTGGTCCATGGGATTTTGCACTTCTGGACGGCTCGTTCGCCTGAGTCATCCTGGTCTTTTGAAAGGCTTTTGGGCTTTCTCTTCTCGCCCTAGTTCTCGGTTTCTCTTCGATGATTGGGCCACCCAAGAGGTGGCACGGGCATGAATAGCCCGTAATCCTCCTTTGGCTCGTGATATCTTTCTTAAGGTGGTATTCTTGTTGAACCTCACCTTCGGCTGCCTTATGGGTGGCTTACCTTGCTTTGATTTCGGGAATCAACATCCCGAAATGGCCCGGTCTCTGACCAGGACTCCAAGGGTAGCTTCCCGATGTTCTGAATTCAAAATTTCAATTTTTAATGTTTTTTTTTTGCTTTTTCTGGATCCTTCTTCTGATTTTCCTGATCTTCCTGATCAGAGCATCTTCCTGATCTTTCTGATCAGAGCAGCTTCCTGATCTTCAGAAGCAGCAGGGGTTTTGATCATATGGCCTTGGTTGGCATTTTGCTCATTTGCAGTCTTGTTTCTTGCAAATTATGACTCGGCTAGCTTTGGAGATTGATGCTTGGCTGGCCAGGCCGGGGTGCCAGCCCGTCCTCCTAAAATTTCCCAACGTCAAGAAATTGTCGTATTAAAGTTCCCTTATCCTAACCTTGTTATCCTTGTTGCTCTCCAAGAGACCAGGCTTCCAGGATCAGAATCTGTGAGAGAAAGGGCAAGGAAAACTCTTTCTTCTGGCAAGGAAAACCACCTGATGAGATCAGAGAACATGGTGTGGGATTTGCCGTTAGGAATGCACTGTTGGGACACATTATGCCACCAACGGGGGAAACCGAACGAATTCTGTCTCTGCAACTGCACTCCCAAACAGGACCAGTCAATGTGATTAGTGCATATGCACCATCCCTGACTTCTCCAGCAGAGGCAAAGGAAAAATTCTACGATGACCTCAACAGAGTCATAGCGAGAATCCCTGTAAAGGAGCCACTGTTCATCCTCGGCGACTTCAACGCCAGAGTGGGTGCCGATCACAACTTTTGGCCCACTTGTCTGGGTCAATTCGGCATAGAAAGGATGCATGAGAACGGGCAACGTCTGCTAGAACTCTGCTGCCTTCATGGTTTCTGTGTCACCAACACGTTCTTCGGCACAAAGCCTCAACACCGAGTCTCTTGGAGACACCCCAGATCCAAGCACTGGCACCAGCTTGACCTGATTCTTACCAAACGTGCCAGTCTACCCAGCGTCAAGATTACGCGTAGCTACCAGAGTGCAGAGTGACACCGACCACTCCTTAGTATGTAGCAAGGTCAAGATGCAAACAAAGAAGATTCATCACTCGAAAAAGGAGGGCAGACCTCGATTCGACACCACCAAGACCCGCAACCAGGACAAGGTTTAAGATGTTGACCAGACCACACACTAGAAATTGAAGGGACGACGACGTTTCGGTCCGTCCTGGACCATTCTCAAGTCTATTGTGAGAATGACAATCGACTTGAGAATGGTCCAGGACGGACCGAAACGTCGTCGTCCCTTCAATTTCTAGTGTGTGGTCTGGTCAACATACTTCAGCCACGTTATTGTGACTCATCGCCTGCATAAGGTTTAAGATTTTGCACGTGTGCTCGAGGAAGCTCTCCCTGGTCCAACCGGGGTCACCGCCTGTAAAAGTGGGAGCACTTCAGAGACGCTGTGTTCAGTGCTGCCATGTCCATCTTTGACAAGAAGACCAGCAGGTCGGCAGACTGGTTCGAGGCTCCCTCGGAAGAGATGACACCTGTCATCGAAGAGAAGAGAAACGCCTTGGCAGCCTACAAAGCCTGCCCAAGTCAGCGCAACTTACAGATCCTTCGGGCCGTCCGCTGCAAAGTGCAGCAGAGCGCCAGGCGATGTGCCAACAACTATTGGCTCCAGCTCTGCTCCCAGATACAGACTGCAGCGGATACAGGCAATGTAAGGGGAATGTATGACGGCATCAAGCAGGCCCTCGGCCCAATCCAGAGGAAGACCGCTCCTCTGAAATCTACCATAGGCGAGGTGATTCAGGACCAGACACTGCAGCTGAAGCGCTGGGTCGAGCACTACTCTGAGCTATACGCCAGGGACAATGTGGTCACCGAAGACGCCCTGAGCGCCATTGAGTGTCTGCCTGTGTTAATAGAGCTCAACAGCGAACCGACCCTGGAAGAACTCAGCGATGCCCTAGACTCCCTTGCTTCTGGTAAAGCTCCTGGAAAAGATGGCATTCCTGCTGAGACCTTGAAGTGCTGCAGAGGTAACCTGCTCATGGAGCTGCATGAAATTCTCTGCCTCTGGTGGGAAGAAGGAGAGGTGCTACAGGACATAAGGGACGCCAACATCGTCACGCTGTATAAGAATAAAGGTGACAGGGGCGACTGCAACAATTTCCGTGGAATCTCCCTCGTCAGTATTGTCGGAAAGCTGTTTGCTCGAGTCACATTGAAGAGGCTCCAAGTACTTGCAGAGAGTCTATCCAGAATCACAATGCAGATTCAGAGCTAACAGGTCCACCATCGACATGGTCTTTTTCCTCAGACAACTGCAGGAGAAATGCAGGGAACAGAAGCAGCCACTCTTCGTAGCCTTCATAGATCTGACGAAGGCCTTCGACCTCGTCAGCAGGGATGGCCTGTTCAAGATCCTCCCCAAGATCAAGAGCCCACCCAGGCTCCTCAGCATCATCAGATCTTTCCATGAGAACATGAAGGGCACCGTGGTCTTTGATAGCCTAACATCAGACGCCTTTGACATCCGAAGTGGAGTAAAGCAGGGCTGCATCCAGGCTCCAACCCTATTCGGGATTTTTTTCGCAGTTATGCTGCGGCACGCCTTCGGATCTGCCACGGAAGGCATCTACCTCCGGATTAAGTCGGATGGAAAGCTCTTTAACCTCGCCAGGCTGAGAGCCAAGACGAAGGTTCGGCTGAGGTGTCTGCGCGACTTCCTTTTTGCCGACGACGCAGCAGTCACTGTTCACTCAGCCGAAGACCTCCAACGGCTCATGACCTGCTTCAGCGAGGCCTGTCAGGCTTTTGGACTCACCA